AAAACAACCCTAGACACCCTAAACTCAAAACAATCTGAGTCCCCTCTTCAGAATAGGGCCGCAAAAAAGCACATAAGCAAAAATTAGGATAGGGATATCCCATATAAACCCCCTTATAATGAAGCCCAACAAGGTAGGGATATCCCCATAAAATGCTTATGCTTATGTCCTTTTTGGGTCCCTAAACTTCAAGCGCCGGAGCCTGGCAGGCGGCGCCCCAAATCGCAGCCCCGAGGCCTCCCGACGGCGCTACTGGCAGCTACTGTGGCGTTTAGGGTTTCGGGTTTAGGGTTTAGGGTTTTAGGGTTTAGGGTTTAGGGTTTAGAGTTTAGGGTTTAGGGTTTAGGGTTTAGGGTTTAGGGTTTAGGGTTTAGGGTTTAGGGCCTAGGGCTTAGGGCTTGCGGTAAGCTTGCAATGCCTGCACACCCTGAACGACCCTCAGGGTTTAGAGCTTCGGGCTCAGGGAGGTCGCTTCAGGTTCAGGGCTTAGGGCTGTTGCGTGAAGCGAGAACTGACTATCAAAGACCATGCGAAGCGCTTCATACATGGGGGTTGATGTGTTTAGGGTTTAGTGTTTAGGGTTTAAGGTTTAGGGTTTAGGGTTTAGGCTTACGGGTTCAGGGTTTAGGGTTTGCTTTTGGAACATACTGCAACAGACCACAGTGCTCCAAGAGGTGGGAGGCTCAGGGGTTTGTGAGCTTCGTGGGGTTTCGGGCTTATAGGGTTTAGGGTTTAGAGTTTAGGGTTTAGGGTTTGGGTTTGGGGGCAGATGGGTTCTGCAGCCAAGGTGCTGTGCTCAGGGTCTAAACCTCAACCCTCAACCCTAAACCACAAACCCTAAACCGAAACCCTCATACCTCAACCCTCAACCCTCAACCCTAAACCCTCAACCCTAAACCCTAAACCCTAAACCCTACACCCTAAACCCTAAACCCTGCACTTGAAGAGGCATCCAGTCATGGGGCCTTCTGAAGGCACTGGGAGAACGTGGACGGAAGCCGCTTGCCCTTCGGCGTCAAGGGCTCGAGGATTCCGGGGCTTGACGCTTGACACTTTGGGAGAGGGGAAGGAGGGTTTATGGTTTAGGGTGGAGGGTTGAGGGTTGAGGGTTGAGGGGTTGAGGGTTTGAGGATTTGAGGGTTTGAGGGTTTGAGGGTTTGAGGGTTTCGGGTTTCGGGTTTCGGGTTTAGGGTTTAGGGTTGAGGGTGGGGAATTGGTTTCCTGTTTTTCTACGGTTTAGAGCAAAAGGGGTTGTGGGGTTGAGGGTTGACAGTTGCGGGTTTGGGGCTTCCGGGCTTGGAATTCTTCGCACGCTAGGCAAGACGACATCACCAAAACCCTTTCGCACCTAAACCCTGAAGTTTCGCCAGCGCTTTCAAGCAGCAAGACTTACAGAACTCCACGGAAAGACCTGAACCCCCGCCCCCTGCAGCGCTTTGGGGCTTTGGGTTAAGGGCCTCAGAGGTGTAGGGTTTACGACTATGGGTTCAGAGGTTTAGGGTTGAGGGCTTTAGTAGCGGCTTTCGGGTTCCAATCCCTTCAGCCATCAGGAGAAACTCGGGCACGGGCATCCGCACACCTTGTCTGGGGCTGGCAGCTCAACCCTCAACCCGAAACCCTAACCCCTGAACCAAGTTCCCCTGAGGCAGAAACCCCATTGCTTATTCTAAGCTCCTACAAGCAGAAGCTTCGAAGAATACGAAATCCTTCCCCTATTCTTGAAGCGCCACAGACTTCAAGGAGCGCGTATCAAAAAAAACTCGTGGGATGCCTGTTTGGTTTGTTAAGGCTGGGTTGGTATTCGGAGAGGGGATCACCCTAAGCCCGAAACCTGACAGGCAAGGGGGGCAGGATGCCTAGGCTTGGGGGTGGGGGGGGGGGCTTCGAGTTGGTTGGTTTAGGTCTAAGGTGTACGGCTTAGGGTTTAGGCTGAAGGTTCAAGGTCTAAGGTTTAAGGTTCAGGGTTCAGGGTCTGGAAGGAGGGTCTAGCTACACCTTGGGGACCCTGATGCGTGGGAACCTCTTGAAAGCTGAGCTGCAAAGGTCCAGGGATTGAGGCTTAGAGCTGACGTCAAGCCCTTGAACTTCAAGCTTGCGGGCTCAGGGTAGAGGAGCTCAAGAGTAAACATCCCATTTTCCTAAGCCCCACCGAAGGGAGTCGTCCCGCCAACATATCCCAAACTAGTCGGGGGTTTGGGTTTAGAGACTAACAGTCTCGGCGCTTGGGGGTTTAGGGGTGGCTTTCGGTCCTCGACCAATGGAGCCAAGCAGCTGGCTGGCACACACGCCGCCCATTTGAAGAAGGATACTTTGTCGGCGCACTGATAATCTTTAATACATAATGTCTAAACCCAATTATTGTTCCTTTGTTGGACGAGCCTATTCTTCTTGTGCGCTCCATTTGTCCTACGCCCAAGACCCGACAGTTCCGTATATGCCAACGACAGAAACCTAACTCCTCAACACGCCGAGGTTTAGGGCTTGGGGCTGAAGGTAGGCTCTCAAAAGCGCTGCAACCCTGCTCCACGCTTGAACAAAAGCAGCCGCACAGGCAAAGCGCCCAGGACGTCGATCTTGGATTCTAGGGGTTGGGGTGTGGGCCTGAAGACGTGACACCCTGAACTGACAATGGTCGCACGGCGAGCGAAGAGTGGGCTTGGGATTTAGGATGGTGCAAGATTCAGGGGCTGCTTCTTCTATGGCACGCGCGCGCTAGCGCCGCAACCTGTTCCATCCATCTCCCAATACCCCACCAAACTCCATCAGCCCCTCAAAGCCGCAAGCCCAACTTCATAGCTACATCTGACTCAGAGCCTATGCAAAGCAAAACCTAACCAAACTCCCAAAGCCTTGAACCCTACATCCTGAGCTGTGGGTTGGGAAAGCCGGCAGAGATTGCACATCCTGCAAGCGTTGTGGGGTTAGGGTTTGGGGTTTTAGGGTTTTGGGTGTAAGGTGTAGGGTTTGGGGTTGTAGGGTTTGCAGGTTTCAGGGGGGTCTAGGCTTCGGATTATAAGATTCCGCTGGTGTTGCAGATCCATAGATCGAAATCTGGGTTGCAGATTGCTGGCAGTGTTTTTGCAGACTTGTATTTCTTGCGGACATTTTTGCAGATTTTTCACAGATGTGGTTATCATCTGCAAAAACCTGCAAAGCACAGTGTGTTTTGCAGAAACTATAACCTTAGGCCCCTGAGGAGAACTCTTGAAACTGACCGGCTTCTTTCGACCCAAGGGGCTGCCGAGCAGCAATCACAACCCGACGGCGCCGCAGAGCCAGCGGCCTGGACCGACGCTCATTTCGCCAAGCAATCTGGTTCGAATCACCAGCAACAGTGGCTCTGAAAGCAGTTTCAGTTCAAACTGGGACCCGAACTTTGGGGGCTGCTGCTCAGGAGGTGTTGGGAGCGCGCAACCTTGAAGATCATTGCGTGCATTCCCGACTGTTCGCCTTTCCAGCTGCCGGCCTCCCCGTTGCAGGAGAACGGGGCGTGCCAGGCACTGCCAAGGCGGGCCGGCGGGGCAGGCAGCGCCGCACCACCCCGAGCATTGCCCAGGGGTTCTACCTGACCAAGATTTCCTGCTTCATAATGGCTTGCTGAACTTGCTTGGCCGGGCGAAATGCGAGGCTTCTGGAATAAAAGGAGTGGTAAACCCATGCGAACAGGGGTTTTCTATTGGTGAGTATATGGGGTTCCTTGCTAATTGTGGTGAGTGCCTTTATTGGGTGTCCTTATGGGGATACAAGGAATATAAACCCTACTTCACGTCACTTCTTGGTGGGCAAGTGTCAAACTCCGTAACCTGAGGCTTAGGGTTTAGGGGCCCTTTAGGGGCTGGGCATAGTGTGTACCACATACGATTGTCTTGCTTCTTGGGTTCCACGCAATGGACGCAGAAATGGAATTGTCCATAACGAAATTGCTCTTGACATAGGCGCGATGGACACAAAAATGTCCATGAAAAGATGGCGCTTTTGCACATCATGCCCGGTGCTTGTCTTCATGACATTGGCTCAATGGACAAAGAAATGTCCGTAACAAAATAGCGCTCGTTCTTCTTGACAAAAAGGCCCGATGGACACAAACACGTGCGTAACAAAACGGCGCTCTCGCAAAACATGCCTGTATGAATGAACATTGCGCTTCTTCTTCTTCTTCTTGGCTCGGTAGACACAAAAATGTCCGTAACAAAGTGGCGCTGTTTCTTCTTGAAAAGGCCTGATGGACACAAACATGTGCATAAATAACAAATTGGCGCCTTTGCACAACATGCCCGTATGAAACTGGTGCCTTTTCTTCTTGACATCGGCTCGATGGACAAAAGCTTGTCTGTAACAAAATGGGGCTGTTTCTTCTTGAAAAAAGACCCGATGGACACAAACATGCGCGTATCAAAATGGTGTTATTGCAACACATGCTCGCAACAAAATGACGAGGTTTCTTGACATTCGCTTGCACTTTTGCAAACATGCCCAGAACAAAATTGTGCTTGGTTGTTGACATTGGCTCGATGGACACCAAAATGTCCGCAACAAAATGGCGCTATTTCATCTCAGATGGACACAGACATGTGCGGAACAAAAAATGGCGCTTTTGCAAAAAACGCCCGTAACAAATTTGCACTAGTTCTTGCCAGTGGCTCGATGGACGCAGAATATCCGCATCAAAATGGGGCTTTCCTCGCCCGTAACAGAATGGCGCTTTTTCTTCTTGACATTGGCTCGATGGACACAAACATGCCCGTAACAAAATGGCGCTGTTTCTTCTTGACACGGGCTTGATGGACACAAAAAAGCGCTTCTGCAACACATGCCCCAATCCACTCACGTAACTCGTGCCTTGGCGTAGCCTCTGCCATCAATCAGGCAGTTCGCCGGCTTGAGGTCCCTCCAGAGCACGTTGTGGCTGTGGATGTGCTCCAGGGCCTTCCCGCAAGCAAGAACCATCAAACAACAACACCACCACCGAAGAACAACAGCCAACAGCACTGCAGCCTCAGTTAAGCACGCCACATGGAACGCCAGGGCGGGCAGGTTCCCTGGAGCAAGGCTGTGATGCTGTTTCCGCTCCGCAACGCTCCGCAACCTGTCAGTGCCTCGGTGGCCCTGCTGGTGGTAGAACCGCCACGATCTCCGCCGGACGCCACCTGCGAAGCAACGGTGGGGGGCACCAGTTGGTTGCGCACTTGTGTTCTTCGGGCCCAGAGCCCCCAACCTCACACCGAAGGGTGACCAACCTGTGATCCTCCGGTGCCAGGCGTCTCCAAGGGCCAAAAACAGTTGATGTCACGCGTCACCCTGCCTACCCGATACCTGTTTTGCTCAGTGCAATTTTCCCGCTGGCTTTCAGATGCCGTAAAAACCCGATAAGCACTATAAGCCCTCTAAACCCTCGAAATGTCTAAGCCCTTAAAGCCCAATAAGCCCTGTAAGCCCTCGAAGCCCCGTAAACCCTCTGAACCCTCCCCTCCCGACGAAGCGTTCAGACGTGCGAAGCCAAGAATCATGAAAAAACTGCCTCCAGCAAGAGGTAGACGTGGAGGTCATCCCGGTAGGTACACACCAGGGATACCACCTGGGACTTCCCCAAACGCAAGCTCAAAGAGAGGAAGCCCAGACGCCCGAGACCCAAAAAACCTCAAAACCCAAGAATCTGGCGACTTGGTGCACAATAGCCCCCCCCCCTCCCCCCCCCTCCCCCTCCCCCCCCCCTCCCCCCCCCTCCCCACCCCCTCCCCCCCTCCCCCCCCCCCCCTCCCCCCCCCCTTAAACCACACATTAACCCCAAAAAGTGGACTTTGACCCACGGCCGAGTACGCGCCGTTGTCCAACTACACTGCGCAGATAGAACCAAAGCCCCCTTCGCTCTTGGCCTGCTTGGCGTAGAATTCCCAACGCGCCTCGCGGGGGCAGTGGTGCGGGTTCTATGTGACACTCTGAGGAGGGTTAAATGTTTAAGGTTTAGGGTCTCCGAGTACATATGTACATGCGGGGGAAGACGGAGGGTCTGCTGAAGCACTTTGGCTGGGGAGTAAGAAAGCTTGGGGGGTTCAAGGTTTCGGGTTTGGGGGGTTAAGGTATACGAGAAGCTCAGGCCGACTCAAGCCTTCATGCCGCGCAGCATGTCGCGCTCCAGTTCGAGGCGGGTGATGGCCTAGCCGTCATCATCATCATCATCAGCAGCAGCAGCAGCAACATCACCATCATCATCATCATCCTCATCATCATCATCATGCGTGATTGCTGCAGTTCTTGCAGTAGACATCATTGTCCTCGCTGCAATGGTCCTAGTCGAGCAATCATGAGTTACACTGCAAATTTTGCTAGTAAGGTGACAGTTAAAGTGCAAGAAGGGATGGTCCGTAATTGCCGCAGACATGCTTGAAGAAATAGCAATCATCACAACCATGAGTCATCACTAGCAGCAGCAGCGGCAGCGGCAGCACCACCACCGCCTGTAACCAAAATCAAGTCAGTCGCAAGTCGGAAGCTAGCAGCAATCAACAGCCCGGGCTTCCAGTACATACTCCTCGAACTCAGAGCCCAAGTCCTGGCGCCCTGAAGGTTAAAGCTGAATCGGACATGTATCCCGAGACTTCGATAAAAAGGGCTTTGGGGCTCGGAGGCTCGGGGAGGGTTTGGGCGCATGCTTGTGGGTTTCAAGTAGCATGCAGTATCATACAACACATGGTCTATAGCATGATATGCATACTCTAAGTCGAGAGAAGTATACAGTACAGCATATTGTCTAGCACATAGATACGACACGCTGGCCACCTGGAAACTGCTTCATGCCCCAAAACCCTAGAACCCGAACCCGGAAGCCTGAACCCTAAGCCACAGATCTCTGTGCAGCCAGTTGCCTGACCGGCCAGCTTGCGCTGCTGCACCGTGCCCTGGCCAGGACTATATGTGGCTTCCGGCATTCGGGGTTCTGGGTTGAGGCGACGACTTGCGGTCCGTGTATATGGTGGCTGCAAAGCTCTACAGTTCAAACCGCAGACGGTCCCATCCCCTCTGAATTTACGTGCCTTTAGCGGAAACCGCTTCTTCACCCGAAAGCCTCGAGAGCTTAGATGTGTCCTGAGACCCCAGCCAGTACTTCCTACCTGCACGGAGTCTACCAGCCGACATCCCTGGCAGGTTTATGCTATCTTTCCTGAGATCCTGAAGCATTGACATGAGGTTTTTCTCCCGGCGTCACGTTTCACTGTTCAGGCTAAAGCATTGACATGAGGTTTTTCTCCCGGCGTCACGTTTCACTGTTCAGGCTGAATAGCCAGAACCACACTGAACCCACATTGTACCAACACCTGCCCCTTCGACAGAACCATAGGTTGCCATAAGATGCTACACCAAAAACACCTGTGTTCTACTTCTTTCGGCCCGCCCCCCACATGATAAGAGGTTTCTTTGGGCAATCCCAGCCCCCCTGAGCCACTGGATCTTATCCGCCATGGGGGCTCCCGAGCTCCCGCCTTCAGCTGGCGGATGCTGGCCTGGGGGGGCGGGGAAGGGCTGCGTGGCGAAGGCATGGTTTCCTAAACAGTGCCTTGGAAGGTAAGGCCTTATGAAGAGGGCGCCTTGTTGCATCCTCTGATCTGGCTTGACATCTGGACCCTCTCTCGCCACGAGTGACTGTATGAGGAATTCTGCACTCGCGTCCCCGTCGCAGTGATGCTTACCTTGCTCCCCCCCCCCCCCCCCCCCACCCCCACCCCACCCCCGCCCCCGTGAATTTTCCCTGCGCCACGGTTCCTTCGATGGAAACGGAAGGCTAGGCTAAGTTATTGGAAATCCAACTCTCGGCTGTGAACCTGACATCCTAAAACGGGTGCTAGGAGGTCTTGGGTTTGGAATCTAGAATAGTGCAACACCCTCTTTTGGTTTGAAATGCGGCTCTCAAACCCCCTTTGCAATCCCAGTGAGCGCCGCGTTTGGGGCGCACCCCCCGCCGTGCTTTACGGTTTTGGGGCTTCAGGTTCAGGGTTTCAGGCTTACGGTTGAGGGGTAATTTTTGGAGATTCAAGGGGGATGATCTCGGCTAACGCTGAACCCCCAAACCACCATGCCCCTGACCTTTACACCCTCAACCCTAAACCCTCTGAGCCTAAACCACCTAAGCAGCCCAAATCCCTAAAACCCAAAAACGCACGTGCGGGCACACACACAAAAACAAACAAACAAACAAACAACCAACCAACCAACCAACCAACCAAACAAACAACCAACCAACCAACCAACCAACCAACCAACAAACAACACACGACTCCGCCACCAAAAAAAATGACGCCTGAAACTTCTGCGACGAGGGCGGGGCATCGGTGGCAGGTTGGTACGACATGTCCTTGCGCGCGTTTAGGGCTTAGGGGGGTTTAGGGTTTAGGTTTAAGGTTTTGGGTTTAGGGCTTAGGATTCTTGGATCCTGGGCGGGATTTTGGCCAAGGGATGTGTCGTGCGTTGGGGCTATTCTGGATTTTGGGGACTCATTTTTCATGTCTGGGTGGCTGTAGCTGCGTTTAACACTGGGGTAAGCATGGTCCGAACTGGCAGTAACAATGTAACATTTAAGCGCGTATAACCCGACTCATTTACTACTCATGACTCATGAATTTCCGGCTGGGGTTTCGTTGTTCTGTTCAGGGTTCGGGGTTCGGGTTTCGTTTGGGGCCTTTGGGCTGTATGGGGAACGACTTTCCTGCAGAAACAGGGCTGCACATGTATCCCTCAACCCTGCTGATGGCATTTTTTGATTCACGGTCCCTAAACCCCTAAACGGGTTGCCGCTTGCATGCGGACACCAAAAGGTCCTATAGTCCTACAGCTCACAATACTATCCCCCCAACAAGCCCCTTAACCCCGGATCCCAAACCCGAAACCCGAAGCCCAAAACCTCCCTTCCTCTAAGCAGTGCGGACGGTGCGAGCGCGAAGAGGGCGATTTTGGAACTTGCAAAGCTTTCTGTTGAGCCCATGGGAGTCGGCGTGCGGGGCTTTCTTAGCAGGTTACGGTCCAGAGGGGGTTCATAGAACTATAGATCTAGATTATAAGGTGGCCTTTAGTGGCTGAGGGTTTTCAAAGTGTGCATGTACAGGAAATGGGGCTGAGGGCTTAGGGGTTCAGAGGCTTAGGGACTATGTCTTCTTAGAAGCCCGGCGGCCGGTGGGTACCAACACACGACTTGAATTGTTTTATATGCACAACAACTGCTAAACTGCTTTTTGTGTCTAATTGTTTGCAAGAGTTTTTGCACAATTGCGTAATTGTTTCAACACTTGTTGTTGAAGTTGTTTCCAAAGTTTGTGCAAGGACTTGGAAGGCGGTACTGCTTGTGAGACTTGATACGTCAAGCGCTTCAAAATTTGAGGAAGCAGAGGTCCCCCGAGCTCTTCTACTTCCGGAAAGAAAAATACTGGCCTGGAGGCCTGCCAGGAACCTGTTTCTTGAAATGTAGGTTTCGGAAAGGACCTCTTCTCGAAAAAGATGTAGAAGACGATGAAGTTGGTCTGCCCAAGAAGAAAGGAGCACCGTGAGCTCTGTGCTGTGCAAAGTGACTCTGAAACTCAAGCCTTGCATGCGATACCCTATCCTGAACGTGGCTGCAGGCGGTCGTCAAGACGGTTTCTGCAAGGGGGGGGAGTGTGCATGCTTCGGTGTCCCCGTCAGAAGAACGGAAAAGAAACTTGAGAACGTGCATTGTTGAGAATATCGCACTTGCGTGCGAGTTTAAAAGAGTAGAGGTACGGGGATGGCGGGCAGCCCCTTGGTTTGAGATCGAAAACCTGAAATTCTGCCAGAGTCTCTGGCAAACGAAGGAGGGGGCCCTGTAGAGAGCCATAATTCCGCAATCATGGTAGGGGGGGCCCTCCCATGAGAAGGAGGAAAAGTTAGTTGCAGTGAAAGCTACTGAGTCAAAGGCCCTTGCCCAATTTAGGAAAAAGCATGAGAGGAGGCAGCTGAGCCCCTTTTTGCGGAACCCAGAATGTGTGGACCGGACAGCCAACATCCACACTTGAGGAATGGATGTTAGGGCTTCTAGGGTTTAGGGTTAGAGTTTAGGGTTTAGGGTTTAGGGTTTAGGGTTTAGGGTTTAGGGTTTAGGGGCTAGGGTTTAGGGTTTAGGGTTTAGGGTTTAGGGGTTGTTTGGGGGTTGTTTAGGGGTTAGGGTTAGGGTTTAGGGGTTAGGGCTTAGGGTTTAGGGCTGAAACACGGCCAGCTTTCTTTTCTTCGGTTTCTCCCGGCTCCTTTGGCAGCGCAGAGCTTCCGGATTGAGAAGGCCCGGGCAGTGGCTTGGACACCATGAAGGCCGAACGCTAATATGTCAACGATTAATATAGCCTCCCCAAGAAATGTAACATCAACTCCTATATTGCCCTTTGTTGTTCTTCTTCTTCTTCTTCTGCTTATTCTTGTTCTTCTTGTTCTTATTTTTCTTCTTGTTCTTCTTGTTGTTCTTGTTGTTCTTGTTGTTCTTGTTGCTCTTGTTGCTGTTGTTGCTGTTGTTGCTGTTGTTGCTGTTGTTGCTGTTGTTGTTGTTCTTATTTATACTTTTTTTTTGGGGGGGTTCTTAAGCAGATAGTGGTCAAGGGAATTAAGCTGGGGTCCCAGCCACGGGCCCTTGATTTGTGTCCCTTGTTATATAACCCCTAAATATACACATATATAGGAATACATATACACTATATATAATGAGGGCCCATACTTCAGATCCCGACAAAAAAGGGTAAGACCATACTCAGGGCCCATGGTTCCAACCTTCGAATCCAGCTTGGACCCCCCGAAGGATGTACCCCAAAAGAGGTTCCCCAAGGCTTGACATGGCTTGACATGGTGTCGAATGCCCGGCTCAGATCACTTCGGCGCCGAGAGGGGTGAGTTGTTTTGGGGATTCTTTCTGGCGGGTTCTTTTTGGGGGCGTAGAGGGTTTAGGGTTGGGCAGGGAGCTCTTTGAACAAGCTGACGCGTCAGCGAGCCAAGGAAGGCTGAGTTCGTAGAAGCGCTCTCCGAAAGCAACCGCGCTTACCACCAGATGGCTTAACATGATGACCTCGTACTTTCCTTGGCACAACATGCTGCTAACGAAAAGTCTTCGCATCCCCTGCAGCTTTTCGCTGTTACACGCACAAAGATGCAGCACCAACTCTAAACCCTAAACCCTAAACCCTACACCCCAAACCCATATCCTAGCCCCCTAATTAAACCCTAAAGGCACAGCTACAGGACACGGGAGTCAGCAAATCTGGAGTTGCATGGGCCCCTCAAGCCCTAAACCCCAACCCCAACCCCTCAACCCGAAAACCCCACCAAAACCCCTAAACCCCTTAACCCAGAGCCCGCCAGCGCACTGCAAGGTGCAGGTCTAAGGGATATAGGGAGGGACCCCCTAGAACAGACCCTGAATCTTTCCCCAAGATAAAGTCCCGATACAACGAAGTACCCCCACATTACCCCCAAGGTCCCTTAGAAGTCCCCTGAGAAGGGTCCCTCCCTTGAAGGTCACTCGTCTTTTGGGAGCCGACGGTGGTCCCCTTCGTGGATCATCTCCTGAGGTGAGACATCCGAAACTCCCGAAACAGTAAACCCCAAATCCCAAACCCTAAGCCCGGCCATAACCACCATATGCCTAAAGCCCTAAATCCCACACCCTCAACCCTGAACCCCGAATACTAAAAACCCTAAACCCTTCACCCAAAACCTCAACCTACACCCTGTTGAGCTTGTATGGCTTGCGATGAAGAATGGACTGCGGGCTCCCACTACGAAGCACAAATTCCAGGCCTAGGGCTGAGCCCTGAGAGTTTGGGGTGCAGGGTATCGGGTTTAGTAGGGCTAGCGTTTAGGGTGCTTGGGGGCCCGATCCAACCGCTTCTACGGCGGTTCGAGGTCTGCTTGCTCCCGATGGACGAGGAGGGGAGCCTAGCGGTGCCTTTTCTTGCTTTTTGTGCTTGTTTCTTTTGTGTTTCTTCCCGAAAGCACCGCGAAAGGTTCTTTGCGGGGACCGTGCACATTTTCAACGTGGCCGACGAACCCTCTGCGGCGTCGTTCACTCTGGCACTACACCGCACCAAGACCACAGCACCTACACCACACCTACTTCACTGCGCCACGACCACCGCACTTACAACACCGCCAGATACGCGTCCCTTGCAAACGTCGAACTGATTGCTTTCGGGATAATCGGTGTCTAGTTTTGCTGGTGTTTTATGGGGTCTGGGACTCTTGAGCTTGCGAATGAATCTCTTTGCCCAGACGACGCTGCTGCTCCCTGTGACGAGGGCAAAGCCCACAACCGCCCACCCTTAGGTTTTGAAATCGAAAAAATGGCTTCCCTTATGAGGATGCACGAAGAGGCCTGTATAAACCCGATTTTAGAGTTTAAAAATTATCATTCAGGGTCTTAGAATTTAGGCTTTAGGGGATTTGCCCATCCTTGAAGCCCCCCCCACCGGCGAACCCAAGGTTTAGGGTTTAAGGGTTAAGGGTTTAGGGTTTAGGGTTTAGGGTTTAGGGTTTAAGGTTTAGGGTTTAGGGTTTAGGGTTTAGGGTTTAGGGTTTAGGGTTTAGGGTTTAGGGTTTAGGGTTTAGGGTTTAGGGTTTAGGGTTTAGGGTTGAAGGCGATGAGTCCCAAACCCGAAACCTAAACCCGAAACCCTAAACCCTAAACTCCTCCCCGATGCCCCCCCAGAACCCCCAAGACCCCTAAACCCTGAACCCCTTAAACTCTAAACCCTGAACCCCTAAACCCTGAAGAAACCCCCCATATAGGGACCCCAAACCCCCTAAGATTAGCCCTTAAACCCTAAACCCTAAACCCTAAGCCCGGGGGTCCAGTTCAGCCGGCGCCCGCACGGAAACCGGGGCAGCCACCAGGTCTGTCAGACACAGCCTCGGGCATTGAGGCTTAGGGTTTAGGGTTTAGGGTTTGGGGTTTGGGGTTTAGGGTTTAGGGTTTAGGGTTTAGGGTTTTGGGGGTTTCTTGGGGGGGGGGTTCGGTTTCGGGTCAAAGGTTTCGGGTTTAGTGCCAGGGCTTGTTGCGAGGAACCTCATACGAACACTCCTTCTTTGGGGATTCCACTTGGGGGTAACAAAATGTTGGGATAAGGGGGGGCATCCCGTGGCTCAGGGTTTAGGACATTCGGGTTTGAGGACCTTGGGGCTTAGGGTTCTGGTTTGGGGTTGATGGTTTAGGGCTTCTTGGATCAGGGTTTAGGGTTTAGGGTTGAGGGTTGAGGGTTGAGGGTTGAGGGTTGAGGGTTGAGGGTTGAGGGTTGAGGGTTGAGGGTTGAGGGTTTAGGGTATAGGGTATAGGGTTTAGGGTTTAGGGCTTCTTGGATCCGGGTTCAG